GCTGTGGTGGCAGTTGTTGTGGTTGCTGCTGTTGTTGTGTTGATGGTTGCTGTTGTTGTGCTATCGTCTGTTGCTGATGATGATGATGTTGTTGCTGTTGCTGTTGCTGCTGTGGTGGCAGTTGTTGTGGTTGCTGCTGTTGTGGTTGCTGCGGCACTGCCGACCTCTGCAGTGTTTGTGTTGTGTTTGTTTGCTGAGGTTGAACGTTCAATTGTGATGTTATGTTGGCTGAAACGGTAGATGGTGTTTGAAGAGTTCGTTGGACAGATCCTTGCGTCGGGGTGGCGGTGTTATGTGAGTTAGAAGTGCTTTGCAATCCAACGAGCCCGTTTGCGATATTTATAGTGTTGGCAACTTGTGGACTAGTAGTAATTCCGGTACTAGTTGAGATTCCAGCATTATTTGCATGTATAAATTGGTTCCTGATAGCTGCAAGCTGTTGCTGTTGCTGTTGCTGTTGCTGTTGCAAGCTTCTCCAGATTTGCATGCGCTCCTGTGGACTCAACTGAGCTACCACTTCTGGATTCCACAGTCTATGTGTAGAGGGACGTACCGCTAAATGGGGATTGGGTCCAGGCGTTGCCGTTGGACCAGGAGTTCCCCCTGCTCTCCGAACAATTTGGGGCCCCGGTGATGTTGCATTAGGCAGTGAAGTGTTTACTACTGAAATTATGTTAGCATTCGCATCTCTTTGGATTTGTTGTGTCCCTAACCTTGGTGTCGTCGCTACTTTTGCAGGAGTATTAGCAGCTGGCAATTTTGCAGCAGCAGAAGAGGGTAATGAAGCTGGAGATGGATTGGCAACAGGAGATCGTTGTGCTGGTGATTGCTGAACCTGAGTTGGAGATCTTTGCGGAGGAGTTGCATTAGGTTGAGTTTTCATTGACTGTTGACTGCGCGGCTGCGGCTGCGACTGCTGTTTTCCTGTTGAATTCTGGCCTTGCGTACGTTGAACGAGAAGGGGTTGGGATGGAGACGGAGTTGATTTATTAATGTTCTGGTTATCCGTAGAGGCTACTTTCTCGGTCTTAATTTTCTTTGTTTGTGGTGCGTCTACGTTTGCCTGATCGCTAGCGTCATCCATCCGGGGACGTTTAATGTCTTGTTGTGTTGTTGTTGTTGGGGAAATTGGTTCGTTGTTTACTGGCTCTATCTCAATTATATCAGATAACCTTAACATTCCTACATCAAACTCTTGGGATAAATCGACCACTTCTTTCTCTTTATTGACAGTCTTCACAATTTCGTCTAATTTTACCAGTTTCAATTCCCGGTCGGGCACGACTAGCGATAGATGTATATTTTGCCTCGCCATCTCTTCACATATGTCAGTCAGAGCATACTCATCATACCTCTCATCTTCATTATGATGAACAGCATCCATCAAAGGGTTACTGTTAGTCACCAATATACAATGTTTTTCTGGCTCTATCAACTCGTAATGCATCTGTTGCTTATGGGTATCGAACATTTCCACTGCGGCTATTAGGCCTTCTGCAATTGCATTATCGAATCCGCCTTGGCAAAAAACCAACGAGTCTAGTTGCATGTAGAAATCACTTAAGTCTGCGTTGAAGTGTCGTGATTCTACGATATTAATGCTGTGGAAATCGCGGAAAATCACCAGGCCATAACGTAAAGCGGGAGTGATTCTGTCTTTATTCTGTTTATCTTCCAAGTCAATCACTTTAGGTGACTTGAGTTTCTGTATAATGGGGCGGAGTATTTTTTCGCAGACATTACGAAAATGTTTGTTCATCCGCCAGCTGCCATCTATAACAAACACCACCAGGACTTCTGGTAATGCGTGAGAAGAGCTTCGTGATATCGGCATTTTGAGCTCAAGAAATACTAGTGAGTAGATTTTCACTTATATCTGATAATATAGTCTCCTTAGAGTGAGAAGTTTGTGAATATTCAATGGACGGAACTTAGTGAAGTTTTGTGATACATTGTTTTAGGTGTAACAATGGAATCAATTGAAACATTATTATTATTATGTTATGACCCGTTTCAGGACAGCGTCGAAAAAAATGTGACACGGTCCAAATTCCAGAGACTAATCAAAGTTGCGCGCCTGACTTAATTCAACGAGGTTACTTCACGTCAAGCTTTAAAAGACAACAAATCTACCGAGTCGATTGGGAAAAACATCTGACCGAGGGTGATAATTTGATGTTTATTAGTCGCCTTTTCAACCTTCGATGTCGTGGTTGTTAACCATCATCGCGCTTGCGTCCGTGAGTTTGGGGCCTATCTCAGTTCGGACTCAGTCACTCAGTCCGGCACTCAGTTAGAACTCACACAGCAATGGAGATTATGCTCACGCAATGCAAGAGCTACTGATATGTTTGTGTGGTTAACGTCCCGCTCAAATTCATTCTCACAGTGGACAGATACGCTCGGTCGTAACAATATATCTCATAGTTATGGTTCAAAATTCTCCTCTTTTATGCTTATCATAATACGTAAACGGGCATATACAGTCCCTGTCAGAAATGTGTGATTACCACAGATCAAACGATAAAAGCTGTCCATACAAAAGTAAATTTTACTAACAAGCCGGCTGTCGTGTAATAAGTAAACCTGTTCGCAATATTAGGACGAAGTTACTGCTGAATAAACTCGCTAACCTGCTGAAAACAGACAAATCTTCTACGATGTATTTCTCCTATACTCGTATCTAAATACAAATGCAATTGAATTTTCCGAGTAAAAGTTATTCCTTTTGAACTTTCTTTAAATGGCGAAACGTTCATAAGTTTGTAACTTTATTAAGTGTTTCATAAATAATGCTTGCTTATGTTGAAGATAAGAATTTATTGTAAGAAGTTTGTTATAATAATAATGTAACTTAAGAAAGTCTCCATTAACTATTTTTTGCAAAAATTCCTCACGTTTCAAAATACAGTGTGTTATGAGAAAAATTGCCCCCCCCCCGAAAATCGAAAATATTTTGCATAATAAACAAGAAACGTGTTATCCATTGTTCAATATTAGCTACTAATCAGGTAATTGTTTTTTCACGATAAAAACTTCGAATTTGCATTATCAGTAACAATGGTTAACTCGCGACTAGAGGCCCAAAGTCAATTCTCAAGTACCGAAGGAGATACACAACATTCCACTTCGTACAACTGTAATCTATAGAATACTCCGACAACATTTGTACCGAAACAACCATTACAACAAGGCAACTTGCTTCAAAGGTGCAAACAACGAACCAAATTTCCATTTCGCATGTCTTTGTTTGGCGTCACATGAAAAAAGATATGAAAGCTCTATACCCCCATGTTACTGGCAACACATTGAAAGACGGAAGACATGGGCAGAAGAAGCACATTTATGCGATAATTGGAGCCATACTATCTTCACCGATGAAAAGGCTTTGATTTTTTAGGGATAAGGTTCATCGATGGCCCAGAAAGATGGCATTCCAAAAAGGGGACAACGTCTCTATTTTGCTTTACTGACATAATGGATGGGCCCTTCTATTGCACACCAGCTCTTGCCAGCTGCTCAAGATAGTGATCCAAAGCACACCTCGCGTGTTGCCAAGGATTTCATTGTTGAGAATGGGATTCGGGTTATTGACTGGCCATCCAATAGCCCGGACCTTAATCCCATAGAAAACATGTGGCAAATAATCAAAAATAATGAATGCCAAGGATATTAGTGAATTGAAGAAGTTTATGGTTAAAGAATGAGATGCGATTTTACTTGAAACAGTGAACAATTTAGTTTTATCAAAAGACGCGAGCCTGTTTTGGAAAAGAACCGGGATAGAATTCATATTAAAATTTTATCTATACTAAAGTACATTATAAACTTTCGAATTGTTTAAACATCTTGTCTCGTTGTTGAGTTATACACTTTTTTGTGAGGGCAATTTTTTCGTAACACACTATTTAAATTGAACAATCATGTAAGTTATAAGATAACATGTATCCTAAAAACAAGGCAACACAATTGCAGTATAATAATAAGATATCTAATTTTACTCATCCAGTTGCTTATACCAAACTTTGTGTCAGGAAACAACGCGTGTCAATTAAAGTTATTAACAACAAGGAGGCGCGTCTAATTGTTACATTCTGGCAATTATATATATTTTAAATAGTAGTTAATAAAATCTAAGCAAACTTCTTACTTAAAGAGCAAAAATAGTTAATAATGATTCTTTAAGTTGCATTATAACAAACTTTTTACAATAAGTTTTTTATAATTTTTGTCTTCAACATAAGCAAGCATTTCTCAATCATAATTTATAAAAACTACAAAACTTGTAAACGTTAAATATTGCGAACAAGTTTACTTATTATTATTACACGAAGACCGGCTGTGTTAGTAAATTTTACTTTTTATATACACTCACTGGACAAAAGTCTACGCAATTTTTGCCGATCAATTAGTAAAACATATGAAAAATCTATTTTTTCGAAGCGCTCTACTGTACGTATCTACTATGT